TAGAGTTTTTCTAAGCTATAGATTTACTTTACCCATTAAGTGATCCTCATATTGTAATAGGAGCATACTGCACGTAAGAAGACTTCTATACACATTTCTTCAACCATCTTAAAGGCAAAAAGCAGAGGTCAAGCAGATGGAAGAATTTGACATTTTGAGAGACAGTTCTACCAATCCTAAATGTTGGTTAATTTTAAAAGAGCACTGAGGCATTTTTTTAAGAATCAAGAAATACATGTTTTTATTTATATACAGTTGGTCTCAGCTTTGAAAATTCCTCAGCTCTATGTTTCCAAAAGTAGGGAAATGCCAGCAAAATTCTCAGTTTCAATGGCATTTCTGTAAAAGGTAAGCCTTATCTATTGTTTTGTGGTTTCTATGGAAATGGACTGTGACAAAGACAAAAAGAGCACAGCAAGATTAGAAAACCTCCTTCCCCTTGAACATTTTTTTATGTTTCCTCAAAGCTAGGTCACATATGACAACAAGCTCTCATTTAAGTCAAATATTGCAAGACAAAAATATGCCATTGGGCTCAAAGGAAGTATCAGTCGGATGATTAGTCAAGCATATTCACAGGATACAGCCATGCTTCGGTGCCCAGTCTGTGGAAATATAAAAAAGGGCTACATTCATTGTCGGTTTCCTGCCAATCTTTGAAAATATGTCTTATTATCGTCACCTATACAGCTACCTCAAGTGTTTCACTAGCTCAAAAACTGAATCACACAGCTAATCCTTTTAATGAAAACAACACCAATATTAACAAAGAAGCATGTCTGAAGAGCAATGCGTCACTCAAGAGCCCCTGCAAACCACTTTAAAATGACTCCACTTTATAAAAACAGAAATTCATCAGAGTTGAGCACTCTGCTAAGCATTAAGGGCTCACAGAGGAGCTAAATGCACATGGAGCCAGCATGGGGGGGCTGTAGTATCATCAAGCTTTGTCACTAGTGGAAAGAATTCATTCTGAAACTTAAAGACGTGTCTTACCAAACCCTAACAAGCCCATAAAGAGTTAAATGTGGCCTGATTTGTACAGTCCTAGGAGGGAAAATTGAGAACAGAGGGCATTGGAAGGGGAGGGTGATTTGGCGGGGGGTCAGGTTAAGCAGGGCTGACCACGCTCCTGCTCAAGACATTAAAATGTCAGCTCCAATCAGGACGAGGGGAGTTGAGCTGATTACCCAGTGGGGGACCTAGCTTTGGACAGAGCAGCCTGCAAGATCTCCCGGAGACACTGGGATCAGCCGGGGACGCCCTATTAGGGTCCAGTCACAGGCAATCCTATTAAACACATCTGCCAATAAACAAAGGGAAAGTTAAACAAAAGGAACCTCCCATTCCCTGACATTAACCTCTCAGTCATGGCGATGTCCTCACCAACTCCACTTCAGTTCACTCCTACTGCAACTGAACTCATCTCCCGAGGAAAACAACAAGGGACATCTGTGGTCACTTTCACATCTCAACTACCTGGTTGATCTTTGGACTACTCAAGTTTAGGGATCATAATAACATTTAATAACGAGAACATATGTTTCTTTAAAAATAAATTCTCTCTTTTTCTGGCCTCTTGAGTTAGTTAGAAAATAATGACTTCTGCATCTTTACTTTTTGTCTCTCCATCAAGGCAGTGAAGGAAATTATGTTCTTCAAGACAAAGGACCCAAACAGTAGCCTCAACCAAACGACATCTGTTAAAACTATTAATATCAGATTGTAACACTTTTAAGCACCTGCCTTTTAGTGTAAATTCCACAAAGACGGAAAGAAACAAGCAGAGCAGCTGCTACAGCTTAAATATGTATAATTGCCATTCACTGTGAATTACTTAAGTGTTGTAACAGAAAGACAAAGTAAAGAAATGAATTCTAGAGCAGGTAACAATAGGGTTTATACCGCTGATCTAAAGTACATACAATACAGGAAGCAAACATGGATTACAAACAAGTATCCTCTAAACCTCATGATAAAGAGGATAAATATAATTGATGATAAAGTATATTCCATTTCTACAATTGCTCCAAAAGCACCAGAGAGGTGAAACAAGTGGCTGTTTGAATCTGAAAGGGGCCCATACAGTTTTATGTGTGCGTGTGTGTGAGGGAAACACAGAGAGAGAGGGACAGATGGAAGGCTGGGAGGCTTACTCAGACACAGTCTTTCTCGTCATGGCCAATTAGGACTCCATAAATCTGATCAATTGCTTCTCTTAAGAACACTACACCAGCACCATGACTAACATCAAACTACTGTATCCTGTTTTTCCGTGTCAAGGGTGATGAAAAAGATGACCAAAACATTGCCAAGTTGTGAAATGAAATATAGTTTTTTTTCTCCCTACACCGTTTTACACGGCAGATTGGAAACTAGTGTCCGAGCATTGCTGCGTTCACGTGAGACATTAGGATCTACAATCTGAACCCATAACATTGGGTCCTGATTGGACAAGTGTAGGACTTTTAGAGGACAAAAATGATGTCAATAGAGAAAAACAAAAGGACTCGGGTTAAATGTGCTATGACACTGCTTTAGAAAGACCTAGAACAACAGTACATGCGTATATCTGTATTTGACCTTGGTGGATGGTTAGATTAATGCTTCTCCCATTCACAAATAGTCCTCTACAGAGACCACTATCGGCTCCCCCGCCGATGGTGACCTTAATGTCTGTCAGGAGTCTGTCTGCTACGCTGACCTCTTCTGCCTGGTCATTAGACACAAATCCCCCATCCACACCAAACCTCTTCTGACAGATACACAGGGTGGGTTTTTGTTTGAAAGCACAAAAGGCAAGGCAGGAGTGGAGAAACCTAAGAGTCAATTAGGTGATTATTAATTCATGTCCCTTTTCCGTAAACCAGAAGCTTTTGCGCTGTCGAGTCCCGTAAGTGAATTGGACTTTGGCACCTCGTCTCACCTCTCATAACTGGACTGTATTATTCAAGCAGCAAAGGGGCTGTCAGCACACTGCACCACTCTCTGGAGCAATCACAGCCTTGTTGTGCTTTTAAGGGAAAAAAAGGTGCCTGCTGGACAGAGTGACTGACACAGCACAGAACAGCACAGCCTGAATTAACTACAACAGGTCATCTAATAATAATAATAATAATAATAGATTTAATTTGTTAGCGCTTTTACAGGTGCTCAAAGACGCTTTACAGATAATAGTGAAGAAAAAAGAAAAGAGAAGAAAGGAACAACAAATAAATATATACGGTAGTTAAAGTTAAAGTCAAATAATACAAAAACAATCTAACATGAAAAGTCAGATTGAAAAGGTGAGTTTTTGTGAGTTTTTTGAAGGTGGTGAGGTCGGTGCAGTCTCTGATGGGTTGTGGGAGTGAGTTCCAAAGGGAGGGGGCAGCGACGGAGAAGGCTCTGTCCCCACAGGTCCGGTGATTGGTGCGGGTGGGGATGGATAGGAGGTTGGCTTCTGATGAGCGGAGGCAGCGGGAAGGGGTGTGGTGGTGCAGCAGGTCTGTGAGGTAGGGGGGGGCCTGGTTGTTGAGGGCTTGTATGTACATCTGACATTTAAATCTTCCAGGAGTGCAATCACAGCTGCCATTAATACGCTGTGTCCTTGGGAGAGGTTATCCATATTCTAAAACGAGTGACTTACAGTAAACAGTCAAGCAGTGAAAGATGGGAAAAAGATTAGTGGTGTTTTGGAATTCCCCTCATTCGGCTGACATGGGGTCCTCATCATCTCTGGAGCCTCTGAACCCTTATTACCACAGTTCCTGTCTCGCCGCGGCAGCTTCAGGCCTCCGGTTGTAAAAGACATAACCTATCATCCAGTCCGTGCAAGCCAGCGAGGCTGCATAACTTTACTGTCGCTTTGCCCAGAACAGCCACAGTCTGCCAATCACTTAAAACTGAAGCTCAGCCCACAATTCCTCTACATTATGAACCTCCTTAGTGTTATACTTTCTGAAGATGTCCTCTGATCCAAAACTCCCTAAAACCTTTCACCTTCACACTGTAGAGGGCTTCTGACGGGTCTCCCTGCAATGTAGAATTTCTTTTTATCTGTATTCCCTGTGCAAGTTGACTATTAATATGGAGATGACTCAACTCCCCCAGTGCTACAAGTCGTTGTCTGTTAATGCTATGCTAACAATACCCGAATATTGTCTGTTCCCTGTCCCTATTTCCATCAAGGTTTTCAATCTATAGCTTGTGTCAGCGCCCAGAGCAATAAAGGGCAGTGTTGCATTTCATATTATATTTCTCAGGTGATTATGCTGCATTCGAAATACAAGAAAATGAAATACATTGATTTAAAAGGCAATATTGAAGCTACATATGAAATCATTTCCTATTATTTATGAAGTCCAAGATAAAAAACACTTCACTGTGCTGTATGACTTGTATGCAGCTAAACAACAGGAGTGCAAGAAAAGCCACTGGGAGATAAAGAAATTGAGTGGAGATATTAATTAGCAGAAGCGTTATTAATCTTCGAGCCACTGAACAACAGGGTGACACGACGTTCACCTTTACAGGACGCTTTGAGAGACAGCACTGGTGCTGGCCCATTAGACAACCCGTGGTAAAACTCATAAACACTGAGCTTTCAGGGAGTTGGCTCACAAACAAGGACAATTTATGGCCTATTATCTTCAAAGACAAAAGGAATTACAAATTTGAGAGATGACAAGCACTCAAAGGACGTGATATGAATATGTAAACATTGTCACTGTTCGGCTTCCTGATCAAGCAGACAGAGCACTACTTAGGGTTTAAAAGCAATACCAAAAAAATCCCCATTGCACTGCATGTCTCCCAGTTCAGAGCAAGAATAAAACAATCTTAAATAATTTGATTGTATCTAACCATAAGCAAAAACCATAGCAAATATTAAATCCACATATCTGCACTGTTATAAGAAAAACCGTCCATGGTAACAGTACAAAATTAAAGACTGCAATGCCAAGGTGCTGGGTCTAGGGGATGCTAATCTGTATGTTTATTATCCAGAGTAAAGGCAGCATCTGCAGCACACAAGACAACATCTGTTTCACTTACACTCAATACACCTGGATGTGCACATGTGCATGCAAAAGCACATTTTTGTGGACATGGAGCCAAAAACACACCATTGTATAAGCACACCCAGAGGCCCAGTCTTCATTTAAACAGTTTCAAAGGTATAATGTAAACATTTAACTTAATATAACACATATCACATTTTGTATCTGGTTTGTGTGAAAACCTGCTGTAAAACACACAACACAGGAGTGTACAATCCTGTAGAAGTAATTTAAGATAAAAAGAAAATGTTTATTTTAACACATCTGTCAAAATATGTATAGTTTTAACCGTATTTTTTTTTCATAATGTGAAAAATAAGTGCCAACACACTATCTCTATAATTGCATTTTACTATCCCTCAAAAGTCTACTGCACATGCCTAAAACCTCAGCATGACAATCAAAACAAAACATCTGTGCAGTCTGGCGTTCAGTCTGGAATGCATTAAGGTTGATTATGTATATTTAGATTTCACTTTTTTAATGTTGTTAGCTCATCACATAAAAGATAAAAGCAATGTTTTCTGGCAAAATGAAGTAGGAAAACAACACAAAACATATGCACCATTTGTATACAAGAAGTGTGAAAACAGTGTGCAGCAGATAATCAGTGTTGCATGTCGTGTTTAATTGGTGCTCCTCAAAACTATGTCAAAATACTCCTACACACTTTTACAGTAACAATTAGGCCCAAGCTAACACAGACACATTCCAGCATGGCAAGTGATGGTAAAAAGGGATTCACTGCATACAAACATGTGCTTTCTGCCTTTAATATTAAAAAACGAAATAACTTACAATATAATTTTAAAGTACAATTATTTCCAATTTTCCAACATTTACAGTAGTGGTGGCAAGATAATTGAGCTTTTTGTCCCTCAAGCACTCGTTTTATGCACTGTTTTCCTGACTAAATTCAAATATCTTGCATTGTTTTGGACAAACAAATACAACCAAAAAGACACAGATTTGTACAATGCTTGTTAAAAAATATGCTGGAATTTCCTACTTCTATTGCGGAAAACATAATAATCATACATAAGAATGTAAGGATAAGAGTATGAGAATAATTATTTAACCAGATACATTTCAGGATTATTTTTCTTACGAAACCCTTTCTAATGTCTCCTTATCAACGCCCTCCCCCCTTTGCAACCTTCAATAAAACCTTTTCCATACATTTATGTTAAGTATGTCGAATAATATTGTTTCCAAGTCTGCAGGCGAATTAACAATTCCCCTACTTCCTCTTCTTTCTGCTCTCTTAACCTTTCAATCTTCCTAGCGCTCACCCTCCTGCCTTGCTCCGTGCTGCATCCCCATACATTCAGCTGCTGCAAAAACACAGCACCTGCTTTAATGAAGGGAAGGAACCCATTCCTATGCAGAAGCTCTCCCCTTTTGTCAGTGCTGTCTCAGCTAGGTGTAGAAGGAGTGAGGAGAGAAAAAGAGAGATATCCTCATGGCTATCCATTTATACATATTTCATACGAATACAAATGATCCTTTGAATTACTAATCATGCAGGATGATTAAATGGCATAGCTAACCTGAGCGTCTTCCATTGAGATTTTTGTATTTTACTTATAATTACTTTTACTGTTATTTTGTTTGTTCTTCTCTCATAATATATACTTATGATAATGTACTGTATAATCACAAAACGTTGCTCCACATTTTCGCTGCGGTGCGGGGAGCATATGACATTTACATATGTCTGAATGCCTGTACATGTATATACTGTATGTATCATATTGAGATAAATAAAAAAACAGCAAAATAATGAAGGCATCTTTCAAAAGATGACAAGCTGAATACATATGCATTTAACAAAGGCTTCTGATGTACCTCTAAATGATTTTAATGAATACTGAGGAGCTGTGGAACAAGAAAGAGAAAATAAGATTGACAGTGGCTTTAAAAAGGAGGAAGCCTTTTTACTGTGTTCGCTAATGCTGTCTGTCTGACAGTGACTGTCATTTGTAAGGAACAATGTTGTGCTCTGTTCCAACAGCTACATGACAACGATGAGAAGAAATACTTCAATAGTTCTAATGATGGACCTTAGAAACAGCTCAGCCTCAGACAGTGGGAGACCGAACACCTTTCAGATAAATAACAGGTTGGCCGAGACGCTCAGACACCATCTTTTAACATGCACACTTTTTTGTGTGCCTACTGTAGAAACATCTTCAGACAATCACTAGCCCAAACAAGCGCTCCTCTGTTTACCGAATGCATTGTGAGGTCTCCCTGGCTTTTTTCGTTACAAGGTGGTTTTCTGCGCTTGCTTTGAATGGGCATTGTATTCATCAATCACAAAAGTTTGAAGTACAAAAAGGGACCCTTCCATTAAACTACAGCTGTCTACCTTTCGCTGACAACACTGCCTTGAACCCACCACCCCAACATACCCACCCTACTTTTCACTGACATCAAACAGAACCTCAGACCTGGTTCCCTAATGCGCATTCTATTTTTAACGAAGCATTTCTAATAAGCTGCTGGGAAGCTGTACATTTTTCATATGCAAGCATATCTTTCCTTTGTGAAAACACAAAAACACACTTATTTGGTGATTAGCGACTGACAGAGGGGAGGAAAGGAACTGAATATGCTTGTATCAAATTGCATGCCTTTCAAAAAGGAGGAATCCTAATGCGAGGAGTCGTCTTCCTGTGCACCACAGGTATGAGTGAATTATTAATCGGCCAGCTCATTTTAATGCTTTTTAAAGTGCTTTATTTTGATGTGCTAAAACATACTTTTAGCCATATTCAGTCAGGCATGCATATCCTTATTTCTTCCATCAAAGAAGAGTGTCGCCCTTTCAAAGAGCACAAACAACTCAGCCTCATTTAAAATAGAAGTTCGAATATCAAAGACATTTTACAAAGGCTGGGCTTCAAACACTGTGATGAAGTTTTTTTCCTACACTTTATAAAAATCTTAGGTATGCAAAAGGTCCGAATTGTTTTCCAGCTTTTAACCTGACTAGTGTAAATCAAAAACATCCTGGAGTAACACAAGAAGTTAGAAGCATCAATCCATGCCTGTTACTGTTCAGTGTCATCATTATCAAAATCTCTTCTATTGAAAAAGAGATGTCTTAACTACAAACATTGTTTTCCTAACAAAGGCGTATATAGTGAATTCTGTTTTAAAAAGAAAAATGTAACTTTAATATAATAGGTTCTCAACTGCTTTCGATATAATAAGATGCAGTGTTACACATACACTGTATATGGAATGTATGTAGGGCCTTCGAGACCCCAATAATACCAAAACTCAAACATTACAAAGTGAAAACCTTTTTTTGCCAAAGTTATCCCGACAAACAGAGAAGAAGAAAATCCATGCATGCTGATCCATTCAAACTGGAAAGTTGTTATGAATACTGCTAAAATAAGACCTTTACCGTTGGCCAGATATAGTTTAGGCCTTAAGCTCCACCCCTCACCCTAAGCCCAACCCCCTGCTTAGGGCTGACCACCTACACCTGTCAATATAAAAGCCCAAAGATAAAACCATCCTGATCTAATAACACGGGTTAGTGTTGTTTGTCTCCTGTTGTGTGTGTGTAGTTGCTATCACATGTGTGCACACACTGGACATGGGCCCAGCTGGAATTACACATACAGGCCCATCTCTTCCCCTCACCGATTGAGCAAAGACAAAACACTGGTCACATGTCAGCTGAACATGTTATCTAATCTGATATTTTATCCTGACTGTTCCTGATGGGATTTATTGCTTGCAAAAAGTGCAACCTTTGAAAGCTAGAATTGAATTTAGGGAGGTCTTTTTTTAGAGAGAGAGTGTAATGTCTTAAAAAGACTTTGAATATGTTTTGTTAAAATAGGTTTGTTTTAATTAAACAAAAGGCCTGTTGTTCAGCGCCATTCAGGTGCAGCGCCACATGTTTCCCGTGAACAGTCTTCCCTAAATGAGTGTGGTGTAAATATTGGCCTTACCTGTCCCTTTGGTGAGCTCCTTCTCCCCCCCACTTTCTCTGTCTTTGGTTTGGTCCTCCTGGTCTGTGGTGGTCTCACTAGCAGCCTCCACATCCTCACTCAGCTCTCCTGAAGGGGGAGGGAGGATGGGATATGTAAATTACCACGCCATCAGAATTGGTGGAAGCACTTAAAGGGACGGCAGCGTTTTTTTCTATAGGAGCTTGCAACAATTACATATGCTGACACACAGTTGCAAGGCTAGCAGACAAAGAGGGCAGAATCTGCTTTCTGCTCTCTGTCCTGTGCTGTCTGATCATCACTGTGAAATTTGTTTTGACAAGTATTTTAAAATCAGAGTTGAATAACAGTGAAGGATTAAAGGCACAGATGTATTCATATTATTAATAAAAATTATTATAAATATTTAAGTTGTTTTGTAATTTGTATTATTATTATATTTATATTTGTATTGCATTGAGAGCTTACTTATTATATTTCAAAAAATGTCAAGACCATGGCAAATATGGTTCCCTCTGTTTAATGTGGTCATAAAACTGCGGAAAAAATAACACATGTGTCCTGAAGTGTGCAGATGGAAAAATAATTGAGTGAGCGCTATCCTTCAAAAGGAAGACCTTAACATAGACAAGCCCCCGTTTTCTTTCTCACACATGAACATACACATATATTACTGGGCCCTTCTGCAATGCAAGGCTCATTTCACTTCTTTTATCCTACTATTGCAACAACAGCAACAAAAATCATAAATATTTAAAACTTTCAGTGCCACAATTCATTTTATTTTTATGCCAAGTCAAAGGCACAAATCCCCTGTAACCGCCTTAAAAGCTTCAGCTCGATATATCAGGCCATTTAGGAGCATTGAAGTCCAAACAATGGATATCCGATAACGCCATTTGTAAGTAACACACAGAGGAAAAGATAGCAAAGACAGATAATAAAAAGGGCATCAATCTTGTTTATTTCCCTCCAGTGCCCCCTGAACATCCCCTTTGCCCGTTAAGTTTGTTTAAAAGTAGTGGGACTTGCATGCAATAGCATTGATTTGACAACAGTAAACTAGGCCGCAGTCAATAGGTCCTATCAGTTATTACACACGTCAGCTAATTCTCAGCAAATGTACTTAAATGCTCTTTTGAAAATGCTTTCATGCTCAGGTCTCTACTCCATGAGCTATTGATATATTGACAATGCTACAACAGCAACTGAAATATCCTGTTCAAGTATTCAGCCCTGCAGTCATCACGCATCCAATCTTAGCTCACCACATGACTACCCACAGCCAAAACCACTTTTATGGCGATACATTATCCCCAACACTCACTGTTTAGCATGTCAGTTGTGAAACATTGCGTACACTGTACACAGAGTTGACATCGTGTTCGTTCTCTAACTCCGGTTTGTGTCATTATCACGGATACACTTTGAAGACTCATACATTTCTGAACCACACTGCTCTTTTCACAGTCCCTTTCCTGATGACAAGTCTTACCCATAGATACAATATTCAGATGTTTTTCTCTTCATAAGTAAATGCATTATGCAAACAAGTCATGTTTATAAAAGAAAAATACATTAAAGGAAAGAACAGTTTTTAAACTTGACATTTCATTTTCTATTGTGTATGTTAAATACATTCAACTGTCTTTGTTGTGTATGCAGAAAAAAAAGGTGTGTATTTAAGAATATATACAACATGTTCTGCAATTTTTAAGGCAAATACAAAACTGGCTGGCTGTTTAAAGGTTGAATAAATACACACTGGCTACAGAATAATGTAATTGTATTATCAATTTGTATTCATATGGGGTTATCCAGTTAAAAAACTAATAAAATCGAAGTTGTGGAAAACACCTTTGTATTACCGGCAGGAAAAGAGCAATATCTTCCATTTCCAGCTTGCTGACAGGAATGCTGTAGCAATGCTTGCAGCTTTTAGAGCAGAGTGATTGGTGAATGCTTTGTGTTGTTACACATTATAGCTAAAGGCTGATCCTGTGATCCAATGATTGTGTGTTCAAATAAAGATATTTAAAAGGGATGACTGACTCCTTGTATAAAAGCATATTTAAGTGTTCCCTCGATCCCACACACACGAATACATTTTATTATTTTATTTTTAACCATGTTTCTATTGTGTTTCCAAGGCAACTCATGAATTCCATCCAGTGCGGCCTATGCTGGTGAGGCGGATCTGAAACATTCCCAGGAAACCAGAGATCCCAAAATCACATCTAACTCCTGCTTGCATACATATTCTCCGTAAGAATTAGGATTCTGCAGAGCTGCATAGGGGCTCAGATTACAAAATAATCCCCAGCTAAATTTGTTCACCTTTAAAACCAGGGTAAGGTGTCATTTTGTAGCTATGTGACACTTGCAGTGAGACTAATTCCCTTCCTACACATTATTACTCACTTTGTGCTCATTACTGTGATAGGCAGCCAACAGTCTGAAGCCATTCAGCGTCCCTGCCCACCCATAACTTCCTGCACACCAACTGTACATGCTGACATTATATTTTTTCCTCTATGTGCTTTCAAGCTTCTTTATTTAGATGTTTAATCAACATATATGACACTAGCATACAGCACACAGGGCCCTGTCCATAATTTATGCAGAAATGCAGACATTTAATTCCAGGAGCAGCATTACATCTTTAAGTGGCAAATAGCTTCGCCTATTCCTCATCTCATCTCCAACAGTATTACAGCATGATTAAAGCCAGGCCCACCGTAATTAATGAAAGGTCATGAGTGGCCTAAGAGTAGGATGCAAATTGAAGAGACACTAAAACTGTAGCCAAAGATTAACTCTGGAAATAGATGAGGAGAAACACTCAAAGCTATGGCAGCAGGCCATTTCTAACCCAAATCTGAGAGATGTTAAGGACAATAGCCTGAAGGTTGTCTTCTAATTAATTGTCTTCATTAACCATCCTAATACAATGATATGAAACAGTTCCATTAATCTAATCATGCAAGCTGAATAAGCCCTTTGCCGACACAGAGATTACACTCATCTATTCTGAGCGTATAAATATCAGCTTTGCTCTGCCAGTCACTCAGTGGGGACAGTCCATGGGCTCACT